AAGTCTGTGCTTTTCACTTGAGCCGTTTAACTCTCAGGGACACAGGCGGGATTGATGGCAGGTAACCAAAGTTCATTGAGTTTGGCATTCTATTTGTAAAGATGAAAGGGAGAGCATGCCTATGTGCTGACATGGAGAGCCCTGTGTAAAGTTAATGATGCAGGAGAGAGGGCACAGGCTCAGGAACTGAGTGGTGAAGGACACAGAGAAAGAGGGAGGAGGAGGGTGCTCTTTGATGTGAGAAAGACACAGCAGGAGACCCAAGGACAGGCCTCTAGAGCTGCTGAGATCTAACCTTCACAGCCTTAGAGAGAGGGAGAGGGAGAGACAGACAGAGAGAGAGAGAGAGAGAGAGAGAGAGAGAGAGAGAGAGAGAGAGAGAGAGAGAGAGAGAGAGAGAGAGATTTAAAACTTAAAAGTTTTAAAAACTTAAAAGGCGGTAGTGGCACATGCCTTTAATCCCAGCACTCGGGAGGCAGAGGCTAGCCTGGTCTACAGAGCTACTTCCAGGACAGTCAAAGCTACACTGAGAAGTCCTGTCAAAAAACAAGAACAAAAGAAAATTAAAGTTCAGCCAGGTGCAGTGGCACACAACTTTAATCCCAGAACACAGGAGGCAGAGGCAGGCGGATCTCTAAGTTGGAGGCCAGCCTGGTCGGTCTATAGAGTTCCAGGAGCCAAGGCAGAAACCCTGTCTCAGGGAAAAAAAAAAAATTATTCTACATTGTAAAACTCAAACCTATCAAAGTATAAAAGTTAGCCTTTACTAATTTAAGGTCTTTAAAAAGAAACTTAGTCATCCAAGGCAGGGCCATTTTTCCATTTGCATCCCCTTTTACCTGAGAAATGTTTTATGTGACCTCAGGAATATAGACACAAAACTAGTTTAAAATCAAATCAAACATTTACTGATAAACTTTAAAACAACCCTTTGGTATACATGATTAAAGACACTAATTAAAGACAAAGGCAAATTTGTATACTGATATGGATATGCTTTGACACTGCATAGAACATCATCATTTTCAGAGGTGACTGATGTTTGGATTTTATAATATCGGTGTTGACATGCTGCTTTATATAAATACACAGTACAAAATGGAAGATGTTTAGAATCTATGACGGTTCATGTTGACTTTCAACTTAATGGGACTTAGAATCATCACGAAAACATACTTTCTGGATGTGTCTATAAAGGTGTGCCCTGCCCATAAGGTTGGACTGAAGAGGAAGGACTAGGCTGAAAAATAGCCCAACAGTTAAAAGCACTGGGGTTCAATTCCCAGCTCCCACATGGTAGCTCATAACTGTCTGCTACACCAGTTCCAGAAGATCTGAGGCTCTGGTACCAGGTAAGCACTCAAACTTATAAGGAAAACAACTAAAACACATAAAACAGGAAAACATTAATTTTGAAAAATTAATAATTTAAAAGAGCCTGATTGTGAATGGGAGTGCCCACAAGCTGGAAGTAAACAGCATCATGGGTCCCTCTCTCTGCTTCTTAGCAACACACATGCAACCAGCAGTCTTACTACTGCCTTGGACGTCCCTTCGCCCTCAAGTGGTCAGCCAAACAGCCCTTTCCCTGAAGTCGTTTTTGTCAGGTATTCTGTCAAAACAATGAGAAAAATAACTACCACAATTTGAAGTTGTTGAAAATCTAATCCCAAGCCAAAATTCAAATAATTGGATGAACTTCAAGTAAGCAACTCAAACAGTTTTTGTTTTGAGAGAGGATCTCACTATGTAACCCTGACAAGCCTGAAATTTACCATGTAGACTGGGCTGGCTTTGAACTCACAGAAATCTATCTATCTGCCTGCCACTGCTTCCTGAATACTTGATTTTTTTTGTAAATTGCCACTTCAAGCCAGCTATGGTTGTGGATGCCTTTAATCCTACCACTTGGTTGGTAGAGGCAGACAGATCTCTGTGAGGTCTATGCAGTGAGATGGGTCTCAAAAAAAAGAAAAAAAGAAAAATATTTAAACACAATACAATCCATATTTTTCTCTTTCTTTAAAGTTTTGTTGTTGTTTTTTGGTTTCGATTAGTTTTTGGAGACAGGGTTTCTCTGTGTAGCCTTGGCTGTCCTGGAACTCAATCTATAGACCAGGTAGACCTTTGCTGAGATTAAAGGCGTGGACCAGCAGTCTGTGTGGGTATGTAACCTTACGTGCCAGAGCAGATGTGCTCATGGTCACTGAGCAACCTCTTCAGCCCCAGATACAGTAATGTTGTACTTACATGCTGAGAGGAATGACAGTGGGAAAATAGTAAGCCTTTTTTTCCTTTATTAAATCATTATGGCTTTTGTTTGTTTGGGACGGGTCTGTATTATATAGTTCTAGCTGCCCTGGAACTCAAAGAGGTCCACTTGTGTCTGACTACTGAGTGCAGAGATTAAAGATGTCCACCATACACCCAGCTTTTAATGTTTCTATAAGATCATAAAATTTTCTATGTTCAGAAAAACAAACAAACAAACAAAAAAACCACTGTGATTGTAAGGGACAATAGCCTGGAACCTGAGCTGAGGCTACCCAGGCAGCACTCATTCCCTGGCAGAGTGTATGGAGTACAGCAGCACATGAGGTACCACGCCTACGGAAGCAAGGCTGCAGTCAAGTCCTGTGTTCACACCAGTAGCAATGCCAGCCAGCACACTACAGATCGATTATGCATTTGATCATGAATTATTATTATTTTAGCAGGGCCTCTTGTATCCCAGACTGGCCTCAAACTCACTATATAGCCAGTCTCCCAAAGAGAGATGTATTACAGGTATGGGCCACCAAATCTCAATAGTTCCATCCAAGGGGATCAAACTCAGGATGCTGTGCATGCTAAGCAAGTACTTTGTGTCTGGTCCCTTGAAATAATTTCTGATCACTGAACATGCAGAAACTTTTGATTAGCCAGGCGGTGGTGGCTCACACCTTTAATCCCAGCACTTGGGAGGCAGAGGCAGGCGGATTTCTGAGTTCGAGGCCAGCCTGGTCTACAGAATGAGTTCCAGGACAGCCAGGGCTACAGAGAAACCCTGTCTCAAAAAACCAAGAAACTTTTGATTGCTAATGTTTGTGACTCCCACAGTTATGCAATCCCATATTGGGTTGTGACCCACAGTTCAAGAAAGATGCATAAAGTAAGAATTTCATTAAGAATAATGGATCGTCATCCAACCAGTGGAAATTTTCCTTCAAATTAAATGCAAATGTTTCAAGCTGAGAGTCTATACATAAACAGATGTTGTGGAGGTTTACATGTCATTTTGTACTGAAATTTTTACTAGGAATGAAAATACATGTGACTCAAAAATAAGTAATCTTGAAGAGAATCTTAAAACTGAACCCACTCAATTATTCATATATAAACTCGATTTTTCCACCACCACTATTTTGAATCAAAAGATCATAACAAAAATATTTCAGAAATGTGCTTTTTCACTCTACAAAATTAAGAGGATAAAAAAGAAACAAAAATATCATTCAACTAGAGTAATAACTAACTTCTAAAATTCAAATAATCTTGCTTAAAACAAGGTAACAAGGAAAAGTTTGTTTGTTGTTTATTGAGATAAGGTCTCATTCTGTGTTATGGTCTAGAAATTCCTATGTAAATCAGACTGGCCTTGAAACCACAGAGATCTTACTGCCTCTTCCTTCCAAGTAACGTGATGGCATTTGTGGCCACACCTGCCTATCTTAATTATCTCTTTTTAACTGGCTAAGTGAACAACAGACAGGCCATCCTATCCAGTTAAAGCCTATGGAACCCAGCAGTGCTTCCTACCCTCTTTGGGGGCGGAGAAGGGGGGGAACCGGGAGCGGGGCCGAGGGGAATGAAGACAAACAATGGAGGAGAAAAGGGGGTGTTTTCTGATAAGTCATGTAAGATGATCTGTTCAGCTAAGCTGCACAACCAAACACACGAAAATTCAGATCAAAGCCAGGGTGCATACCAGGGTAATATTTAGGTAATATCCTTTGCCAAAGCATTAAGGGGTGCGGGGCGGGGGCGGGGAGGGCGACGACCGGACAGACAAGAAGGTGGAAAGAACCTGCTAGACCACCTCTTATTAAAGCAGAAAGGCAAGAAATACAATCTGCCTATATGGAAGAGTGGGGAAAGCAGTGCCCTAGATATATTGGGAGTATTCCTATAGATAGGTACGAAGCACAAAGACCTATTATCAATGAACTAAGCCCAGAAAGCAGTGTTCAGGATGTTGGCGTACCCCCAATATGTAAATATATCACCATTAATCCTAAAAGCAAAGTGTTCTAAATATACAGAGACATAAGAATGCAGACTCACACTTTCAGTGAACAGACCCACTGGCTTTACAACAAGAAACAACGAAACACCAAAAAACCTGTTATCTGAATATAACACCAGAGAGGAAGGGGTCAAGATGAAGTTATCTTTACACTTCTTTTCCTTCTGTCCTTTTAGATGATCTCAGACCGTCTCATTTCACAGGACACACACCCTTTGGGTCTCCGGAAACAAAGCAGGGTCATTAATTCTCCGGCCTGTGGGTGCACGCACGCCCCCCCCCAACAAATGATGAGGCCGCCATATGACTTTCATTAATAAATAAGCCAACCAGCGAGGTCTCAGTGTGCCTTGCACAGTGTGACAACCAGGCACGAGACAAGCGCCACAAAAGAAGGAGTGGCTCGGGACCAGAAAACCACTGCCACTCCGCACCCCCGAGAAGCGCGTCGGTCTCCACCACCGACGCAGTGGCAGCAGCTCCTCCATCCTCCGCCCATTCCCGCCTCCCCCGCCCGGGCCCAGCCCGAGGTGACCTCCGGGTGACAGCCCGCGCCGCTCTTTGTGCCGGTGTGTGGGGACTGCCCCGTGGCCCCCCGGTCTCGGAGGGGGTGCGAGGCCGGCGCACTGCCCTCAGCATCTCAGAGCCGGACCTGCGGAGCCTGCGCTTCAGCCTCAGCCGCGCGGCCCTCAGTCCCGGCCCTCCCCTCACTCACCCGGGTGGCGGGCAGCGGTCGTGCGGGCGGCGGCGCCCGGAGTCAGCTTTCGTGCGGCGAACTGCTAGCGAGCCGCGTCCGTGAGTCCGAGCCGCTGAGCTGGCGATAGCGACTGCTTAGATGCTGCCCCGGCGAGGGGCGGGCCCGGCGGGGGAGGGGCGGGCGCCGCGCCTCTCATTCATGCCGCGGGGGCGGGGTGTGGGACCCGGATGCCCGGGCAAGGCCCGCCTCCTCGCTGAGGGCGCGCGGCTTCATTGTCGGCAGTGCGCAGGCGCGGCGTTTCTCTGGCTAGGCTACTGGCTGTTCTGTAGGATTGATTCATGATGCCTGGCTATAATGTTCATATCTTCTCAGCTGTGTAGTGTTTTCCGTGTATGTGGACATTCTTAAGAGTTAAAAGAGTAGCCAGGCAGTGGTGGCGCACGCCTTTAATCTCAGCACTTGGGAAGCAGAGGCAGGTGGATTTCTAAGTTCAAGGCCAGCCTGGTCTACAGAGTGAGTTCCAGGACAGCTAGGACTACACAGAGAAACCCTGTCTCGAAAAAAAAAAAAAATCAACAACAACAAAAAAAGAGTTAAAAGAGTAAAGCTTCGTTTCTCGTAGCATCCAGCCCAAGAGTCCTCAAAGGTGAGGTACACCTTGTTAAGATATTCCACCTCAGCCGGACGGTGGTGGCACACGCCTTTAATCCCAGCACTTGGGAGGCAGTGGCAGGCGGATTTCTGAGTTCGAGAGTTCGAGGCTAGCCTGGTCTACAGAATGAGTTCCAGGACAGCCAGGGCTACACAGAGAAACCCTGTCGCGAAAAAAAAAGAAAAAAGAAAAAGATATTCCACTTCCTGCAGACCCAGTGCCTGTACAGACAGTGGAAGGAAATATATTTAAGAAACAGCGTGTCCTTTTTTTAATTACATCTACCCATTACTCTGACCCCCAGCTCCTGTTCTACACTGCAGACAAACTGATTCAGGATTTAGAGGCGCTGAGCCCTTCTTGTAAGAGCAAGGCCTAAGCTCTAGCGGATCACTGAAAGCAAATAGGAGTTCTCATAGCTACCACTGCTAAAACTTATTAGCAGAGGGTGTGGGTTCTGTACCTCAGACCTCCCTTAACTTCCCATTTCCTTTGAGGTAGCCCCTCCTCCTCCCCTCCTAGATCCTTCTCATAAACCACAACTAGTTCGTGACTTAACTCTTCATGGAAAATGCCTACCAGCCCATTCCTCCTGCTGTAGTGAACCATAAATCTTCTAGGAAAGGGGAAGTAAGAAGGACTCAGTGAAGGTTTTACCACAGACCCTCTACCCAACTTCCTCTCTCCCCAAATCAGGCCTCACCTGTGAGCTATCTCCCTTTTCTCCCTTTCCTCTCCCCTCTTCTCCCCTCCCTTCTCTCCCCTTCCTCTCCCCTCTCCTCCCCTCCCCTCCCCTCCCCTTCCCTCCTCTCCCCTTTCCCCCCTCCCTTTTCCCTCTGCTCCCAGGATCCCTGCTGTGCTGTTGCCAGCTTAAAGTCCTACCTAATTCTGTCACCTTGGCACAAAGGCTAAGACAGATCAGTACCCAAAGTTAGGGTACAATGCTTTCATATTCTTGGTCTCTTATTCAAGGAATTGAAATAAAAGCCCACATAGATGTGTAAAAAGTAGCAAGAAAATTTGGTTGAAGCAAAGCAAAGTTGGGGGGGGGGGAACAAAACCAAAAAAAAAAAAAAAAAGAAAAAAGAAATAGTCGAGACACACTGCAAGGGAGCTCCAGGCCACGTGAGCGAAGATATTCAGGGCTTGGATTACTGTTTGAGGCTTTCTTTTACTGCATTCAAGAAGTATTGCACAAGCTAGAGTTGTCTGGGGAGAGGGTACCCCAGTTGAAGAATTACCTTCATCAGACTGGACTGAGAGCACATCTGTGGGGCATATTCTTGATTCATGATTGATGTGGGAGGACCCACACCTTGTAGGCATATCACCTGTCACCAACTGTAAACCTATACACACCAAGAATCTCCCTTATGGCTAGAGTTGTATGTCGTCTCCACACAGCACTAGCTTTGTGGGAAGAGACACCTCAGTTGAGAAGATGCTTCCATTAGATTGCTTGTAGGTGAGTCTGCAGGGCATTTTCTTGATTAATGATTGACATGAGGGGGCACAAACCACTGTGGTGGTATCACGCCTGGCCAGGTGGTCCCGAGTGCTATAAGAAAGCAGTCTGCGCAAGCCATAGGGAGCAAGCCAGCAAGCAGCACCCCTCCATGGCCTCTGCATCAGCTCTTTACTTATGATCCCTCCCTTGAGTTCTTTTCTGACTTCCCTCAACAATGGACTATTTATTACCTGTAAATGTCAGCCAAATAAACCCTTTCCTGCCCAAGTCATTTTGGTCATTTATCACAGCAGTAGAAAGCAAACTGAAACAATGGTCTTGCTCGGCACAGGACTATATGTTACTACACTGATCTGTCAGTCGAGACCTGCCCACTGGTGCGATAGCAGTATGACTGTGTGGTTTAGCTGAATACTTTCTGATTGGACTTGAGGCCTGCCTCACAGGAAGGAATTCATACTTGAAACTGTAAACCTGGTCAAAAGCCAGTGGCTTGGAAGGTCACAGGCCCTAGGGGCATCTGAGTACTGTTGTTCTGCTAAATGTTCATGTTGTCAAGCTGCAGTCTAAATATTTATGTTTGTGCTGCTCCCAAGATTGGGCAGAGAACCTTCTGTCTGCAGTGGTTGGCAGTTAATGCAGAGATCCGTACGTGGTCAAAGAGCTAAGAATAAGTGACTATTGGATGCTTAGTCCTAAACAGGACATCTATTATTACCCCAAGGCTCAGGGAGTATCATATAAGAGGGCCAAGAAGAATGCAGAGGCCAGTGGATCGAAAGGAATGCTGGGAAATGCTTTCTTCTGAATATGACACGGTCATGGCTCTTGTGAACTTACAACAGTTGTGCTTACCTGCACGAGATTTAGTCAGTGAATATTCCAGCATGGGTGGAGGGGGAGTTTACAAGGCCCCACCCCTAACTGAGAAGCTCTTGGCAGTTGATGACTTATGGGGAAGGGAAATCAATTTTCTTTAGAGATATGTCTGTTAGTATGTTGCCCATGATCCAGTGAATGGCACCTCACCTACACCTTTGTGAGTAGTACTTAATTAGGTTCAGTGAGGGGAGAAAGAAAGGGGAGAAAGGGAGGGAGGGGGAGGGGCAAGGAGAGGGAGAGGATGCATGTAGGTGGGAAGGAGATGGATTGGGAAGTTTAAGGGAAGTGGGAGGAATTGAGGGGAAGATATGATCAATATACATTATATACATGTATGAAATCATCAGGGAATAAATAAAGAATACTGTAAAAAAAAAAAATCCTTCCTTGTTTGAGGTGATCTGAAGACTCTCATTCCCGGATGCCTGTTATGCTGGATGCCTGTCACGCTAGATGTGGCAGCTCTGCTTTTTGTTTTTCCCAGTTGAACTGTCTCTGTGATGAGGCTCCTTTCCAAGCAGAAGGGCAGATTCTCTCTCTTTTCGAGGTCTAGTCATGTTGTCTCTGAAATGATGACCTGTCCCTGATGATGCTCTCTTGCTTTAAGTCTGAGAATGGCCCTCCATGGTCTTGAGGCCCTCTCTTCTAATAAAATTTATTCTGAACCAACCTACTGAGACCACTTCCTCCTTTGCCCCTTAAATCAGGATGCTGGGGTGGGGGGATACCCTTCCTCCTTGCTCTTAATCCTAGCAATTAGCAGGAAGCATTTTGGACACAGGGTTGCACCTTTCACTTTGGTATAAACCAGACCTCCTCACCTTTCCTTTGGGCTGCTGCAGACTTTACAGTCCATTCTCATGCAAATTTATCCTTTCTCTCCCTCTCTCTCTCTCTCTCTCTCTCTCTAATACTTTCTCTTGATGCGTCACTCTGCTGTCTGGCACTTGAACCTTATTTTGCAGCCATTTCTAGAGCAGCACAGCACTGTTTTACTCCGCAACTGTTGCTGCTGGGCCCTCTGCTAGAAAAGCAACACTTATCTAGCAACAGAAAAAAATAAAAAACAAAAAACTGGTTTCCTTTTAAAATCCACAGAGAATTGTTAGAGCACAGGAAATGTCCTGTATGACACTGTTGTGATAGCAAACACAAGTCGCACAATTGTGCAGATCTGTAGAGTGGATGACAACAAGAGTGGGGTATGGATTCTAGATGAGGATGACGTACCACTGAAGGGCCATCGGCTACAATGATGCAGTGGGGGAGGCTGAGGATGGGGGAAGCTATTTAAGGCACAACTTCCCAAGCTGTGGGTAGTGATCCACACTGAATGTAGGGGTCATGGAAAAATCAGCAACAGTCAAAGGTTTCTGAATAAGCAACAGCCGAAAATCCATTCAAAAGCTGGCACATACTGAGTCTGGGCTATTTCTGGCATCCCTTAACCCATGTTTCTTCATGCAGTTTCACTCAGTCTTAATTCTGAACACACAACATCCAGCAGTTTCTGAAATAGTCTTAAACATACTTGAATCATTTGGTACTACGTATTTACAAAACGTGACAGTGTCAACACTGATGATCATAAAATGGAAATAGCAATCAGGATTCAAGATGGCTCAGTGGGTGCTAGATACACAAACCTGATGACCTGAGTTTGACCCCGGGACCCCACAGAGAAAGAAAACAGACTCCTGAATGTGGTCTTCTTATCTCCACATACATGGGGTGACACATGCACTCTCTCATTCTCACACATACACGATACATAATACGTATGCACACAAGAATGATAAATTTTTAAAAAATAAAGAATCAGTAATAACATTGAAGTTCTGTCTTGTAAAATCAAATATTAGGCCAAACTTTATTCTTATCTATTAATAGTGTCCATCGTATTGGGGGAGGGGTATTCTCTTCTATTCTTGACTTGAAAGCCAGAGCCACATGGCTGAAGCTGCTGAGTTCTGCTGCTTGCAGGAGCTGGAACATGGTCCCCTTATTTTATTTTTTATTATTTTATTATTATTATTTTTTGAAATACACCTGCCTCTGCCTCCCAAGTTCGGTCCCCTTATTCTATT